CAGTATTGTCCACTCAGACTGGCAGCTGCTCTCCAAGGTCTGAGGCTGAGGTCTTTCACATCACCTACTACTTGATCCTTCTAACTGGAGTTGCTGGGGATTGAACCCCCTGCATGCCAAGCAGATGCTCTGCCACTGAGCCCCTCCCTGCATTGGGGACCAAGGCTTATCTTCCTGGCCTCTGTGGTCCTTTCCACATTTGCCTGCCACTCTGGATTTTCTCAGTGTTCGAGTTGACGCGATTTAAGTCCACGGCCCTTTCCGCATCTAGCATTTGCTCCGTTGTTTTACCAAACCCACGATGGAACAGAAAAAGATGCGGCTCAGAACCTCATTCAAAATACTCCGGGCGAGTGCCACACTGACTGCAGAGTCACCCCTGAATGGCCATAAAACGGCCACACATCTAGGGAGATGGCTACCATCAAACCGAGAGATCGAAGGAAGTGAAAGCTGCATGTGGTCTGGTTGTTGTCGTTCAGTCACACAGTCGAGTCCGACTCTTCACGACCCCATGGACCAGATCATGCCAGGCCTTCCTGTCTTCTGCCGTCCTCTGAAGTTTGCTCAATTTCATGTTTGTTGCATCAATGACACCGTCTAACCATCTCATCCTTTGCCGTCCCCGTCTTCTTTGACCTTCAATCTTTCCCAGCATCAGGGTCTTCTCCAGTGAGTGCTCCCTTCTCATTGGGTGGCCAAAGTATTTGAGCTTCAGCTTCATTATCTGGCCTTCCAGGGAACGGTCAGGGAACGTGGCATGCAATGTAAAGGGGAATTTCTGTTCCAGCGTGGGTTTGGTAAAACAGCGGAGCAAGTGCTAGATGCAGAATGGGCCCACGGCAAAACAGCGTCCAAAACCCCCAGGCCAACAGCTGGCTGAAACCAGGCTGACCACTGAAGGGAAGTAACATATTGCAGAATGCGGGGGGAGAATTTAATTTTAGTACAGAATTGCTTGAAGGATACAGCAGTGAACGTGGAGTAAAAGGAGAGTGTGGAAAGGGCCTCTGTCTCTGTGTTTTCCTTGCCTTGCCTAGCCAGAGACACTCTCTGATGTGTGTGTGAAACAAACCAGATCTTTTTTAAAAAATTAGCAATTTTATTAGAAGTATATATCACACATATTACAACGTTTGCTTATTCGGCTTACAACGATACCAGAACAGGAACCCAGGAAGTTGAAATAATATATTCTGTAGCAACAAAATCTCAAATTCCAAAAATTAGACTATCAACAATACACTTTCCTTTTTTAAAATAAACATCGTTTGTTTGTTTATTTTGAGTTTTCAAACTTTATTGAAGTAACCAGGGGTCGTTTCATAGAAAAAGAGCTAGGGGAACTCATTAGCATAACTCATTAGCATATGCCACACCCCCTGACATCATAAGGCCTGGCAGTGGAACTGCAAGGCCGGCGGGAGTGCGAGGAAGCCCCGCCAAGGCCCTCCCTGGCCCAAGGCAGGCAGGGGTGGGGAGAGGCAGAGAGGAAGCAACTTACCCTCCCTCTTCTCCTACCTCCTCCTAGCTGAATGAGGGCTGGAAGCGAAGCGGCCGGAAGCAGGGGGTGGGGCTTCATTGTGTGCCCCCCCCCCGCACCTCACCCAGGAGAACTGCGATCCCCCGTGATCCCCCCCCCAATCGACCTCTGGAAGTAACAATTCAGCTTACAAAAACCATATCCAATTGAGTGACATAAACTATTACAAAAAAAAGTAACTATACAGTGAACACTAACTATTCATTTACATCAGTGTGTTTTCATGTATAAAGAAAGAACATTTACATAGTAACAATAAAGATTCTGTATCCTAAACTCTGATATAACACTTAACGGTGACTATACATCAAACATTCCTGCAGTTGAGGCCATTCGTCTGATAGAAATTTTTGGTTTGCCAGATATTCTAGCACTGGATACCATTTTTCATCAAGAATTGAATTTTTAGGAAATTGCATTCCTCTATTAATAAGGCCTGCAATATTCTCCATAATGTATTGGTACCACAGTTTACTAAACCATAACAACAAAGATGGAGCCTTTTGATTCTTCCACCTGGAAGCTATTGCTGTCCTAGCTGCTACGGTTAATATGTTCCCTCTAAGCTGCAGAGTCTTGTGAGCGAAAATTCTACTTTGTGAGCTACTGGCATTAAAGTTGTGAGCCAGCGATTTGGCTGCTACATAAATTAGCTTGCTCTGGAGCCCTCCATCCTGAGCCAAGCCAAAAACGTGTGAGCTGGAGGCTAAAAAACTGCGAGCTAGCTCACACTAACTCAGTTTAGAGGGAACACTGGTGTGAGGACTCTAATCTGGGAGAACCAGGTTTGATTCCCCTACTCTTCCACTTGCAGATGCTGGATGGCCTTGGGCAAGCCATAGTTCTGACAAAAGCTGTCCTTGAAAGGGCAGTTCTGGAAAGAGCTCTCTCAGCCCCACCTACCCCACAGGGTGTCTGTTGTGGGGAGGGGGAGGGAAAGGAGTTTGTAAGCCACTCTGAGATTTCGAGTGAAGGACGGAGTATAAATCCAATCTCCTCCTCCTCCTCCTCCTCCTTCATTTCTCAACAGACTTGAACCCAGTGGCCAGCAATTTAAGAACAATGTTTCAGAACAAAAAGGAACTTCACACCCTATCATTTTTGTGTGTGACTGGATGTCTTTCCAAAATCATTGCATCACTTCACATGACCCCCAACAGTGGGCCTATGTTCCAGTTTGTTAACAAGCTTTCAGACATTCTGGATTATATTTTGAAGACACATGATAGGCTTTGAGTGGTGTTAGGTACCCTCTTGTCATGCCTTGAAACGATCGAGGTCTGGGAGCTATTGATGAAGACAGAAGTGAACCAGAAAATCTGACAGCACCTGCAGTCTGATGGATCCTTGCCTAGGAGTAAGCCCATTGAATACAGTGGGACTTCTGAATAAACATGTATGGATCAGGCTGGAAGAAAAGGGAAGGAAGGAAAAATTCAGAGCTGACCGAGCACATCCATCTGCATAATCTTTTTTTCACTTTTCCATTATTGTTCTTCTTTGTTTCCTCAGTGGAGTATCGAGTCTAGCTTGACTTGCAACACATACCTCCCACACAGCAAAAATTTCTGATTGTAATGGCTTACTTCCTTAAATGAACAGCAACATTTAGCAGCATTTACAGGAGTGGGGGGGGGGGATGAAGTGTTGATCTAGTTCAAGAAAAGTGGGATCAGGCACTGAAGGATAAATGGCTCCCAACACAATGGAAAGAGTTGTTGTTAGACATTAAATCTTGGTTTACATCTAAGTCATTGACTCCCCTCCCCAGGGTCCTGTGGGATATTTTTGTTTTTCCTGTGAACTAGATTCAAGAAGGGAAGAAGAAAGGAAAGAAGGAAGAGGAGGAGGACTTTTATACACCACCCTTCACTACCCAAAGGAGTCTCAGAGCGGCTGACAAACTCCTTTCCCTTCCCCTCCCCACAACAGACACCCTGTGAGGCAGGTGGGGCTGAGAGAGCTCTGAGAGAACTGATCATGAGACAGCAGCTCTGAAAGAACTTGTAACTGACCCAATGTCACACCAGCGGCTGCATGTGGAGGTGTAGGGAATCAAACCCAGCTCTCCCAGATTAGAGTCCATGCTCCTAACCACTACACCAGACTGGCTCTCAGAGGGCCGTCCCCTCCCCTAACCCTGCCATTCCTTGGCTCCATCCCCAAATCTCCAGGGATTTTTCAAGCTGGAGTTGGCAACCTCACTAGCACAAGAACTAGAGGCCTGATTACAGGAAGACTTCTCCCATTTGGTGCAATTTCTTCAGAAACGTTCTTAAAATGATTCTCAGAAAGAAGATGGGAAGGTTAAAAAGAATTCTTTAAAAGGTAAATTAAAAATAGATGAAATTATATATATTCAGATGTACAGATGTCTTTAAGGGTTGTTGGGTTTTTTTGCTTATCTGCATAATGAGCTCCGTTTTCCATTTATTAAGGCTACTCACATCGACAAAACTGGGTCTCTATAAATAGAAAATCGTTTCAGGGTTTGGAGGACAATACAGAAGCCAAGCAGGTTAGGGAAAGGCGTTGCTAACTTGTTTACAAAAACTTTCCTAAGCGAAAATAGTTGCAGTTTGCTGTGAATTTCGGGGGAAATGAGCTATTGACAGCATTTTCTCTTAACACACTGGGGCCAGGATCCAAAGAGACATTCATAATGAGTTCATCAACTACAAAACATCTTCAACGTGCCTGACAGAGAAAAGAGAAGGTCCCTGTCCCAAGGTGCATACATATGCTAATGAGTTTATGTTGTTGGGTGTGGCCTAATATGCTAATGAGTTTATGTTGTTGGGTGTGGCCTAATATGCTAATGAGTTTATGTTGTTGGGTGTGGCCTAATATGCTAATGAGTTTATGTTGTTGGGTGTGGCCTAATATGCTAATGAGTTTATGTTGTTGGGTGTGGCCTAATATGCTAATGAGTTTATGTTGTTGGGTGTGGCCTAATATGCTAATGAGTTTATGTTGTTGGGTGTGGCCTAATATGCTAATGAGTTTATGTTGTTGGGTGTGGCCTAATATGCTAATGAGTTTATGTTGTTGGGTGTGGCCTAATATGCTAATGAGTTTATGTTGTTGGGTGTGGCCTAATATGCTAATGAGTTCCTGCTGGGCTTTTTCTACCAAAAAAAGCCCTGATACACTGTAAGAGTCAAACTACACATACTTGCATCTTCCAATGTGTAAAGTGTGGAATGGCTGGTCCCACAGGTTGCTGCCCTGGCGACGCAGCCGGGGCATCCGGCCCCACGGGGACTGGCTGCTGTGCAAGAGGCTGCTGCCTTGGAGGCTGCTGCTGTCCCGGGAGTACCTGGCCAACTGGGGGAGCTGCTGGCATGGCGGGGCGCTGCAGCTGCAGCTCGTGTTGCATTGTAGTAGCAATGAGATGGGGTAGCTTGAGCATCATGTCCTGCATCTCTCTTCACATCTCCTCTTGTTGGGCTTGCAGCTGGTGTTTCACACGTTCCAGCTGGTCTTCGGCCCCACCGCCATGCCTCCCAAAATCCCACTCACTCTCTACGGGGGGGGGGAGATGATCATACCAGCGGGTGCCCCTCGGCCGAGGGGTGGTCACCCACAACTCCCGAAGCGGGCCAATGAGTACGGGTCCCACCAGGGCTTCTCCCAACTTAGTCCATCTCCCCCACCACACTCCCCTGTGGTGGTAACGGTCCCTGTTCTAGTGGGGGCCTCTTCTGCAGTGGTAACTGGAACACCCCCATCTTCCTCATCGCTCATGGTAAAGTACGGGGTTGAGGATTATAAGAGTTTTGACACTCTGTCAGAGTCCCACAGCAATCAGTTCTCAACAACGTTCCTTCAGAAGGTTCGAGTTTATTGAGTTCAGTAAAGGCAGGTCATCTGTGCATACATCCTGTGTCAGAACTAATTGCTGGCGTGCGAAATGCAGAGATATACCCAGTTCAAAACAAGGGCCCCTAATGGGTCTGAGACAATCAGGGTCGAAGCTGAAGCCTGCCCAGGCTAACGGGTCTGCGTTCCCAGAGAAAGCATCAGCAGCCTGGTACCAAGGTCACAGGCCCAGGATAACAGATAAGATGAAGAAGAAGAAGAAGAAGAAGAAGAGATTGGATTTACACCCCGCCCTTCACTTGGAGTCTCAGAGCGGCTTACAAACTCCTTTCCCTTCCCCTCCCCACAACAGACACCCTGTGAGGTGGGTGGGGCTGAGAGAGCTCTGACACAAACTGCTCTTTTTCAAGGACAGCTGTGCCAGAGCTTGTGACTGACCCAAGGTCACATCAGCAGGTGCAAGTGGAGGAGTGGGGAATCAAACCCGGTTCTCCCAGATTAGAGTCCGCACACTTAACCACAACACCAAATGAAAGCTAAGATTCCAGCATTCCCCAGTTGAGGGTGGGGGATTGCCAGGGGTCATTTCGTAGAAAAAGAGCTAGGGGAACTCATTAGCATAACTCATTAGCATATGCCACACCCCCTGACATCACCGGAAGTGTGTCATAAGGCCACATCCTCTGACATCACCGGAAGTGTGTCATAAGGCCACACACCCCGCCCCCAACGGTCCGGGCTGCCACCGCCAGCCTTGCAGCTCCACTGCCGAGCCCCATGAGGGGCCCGGTGGTGGACCTGCAAGGCCGGCGGGAGGGCAAGGAAGCCCCCCGAAGGCCCTCCCTTGC